TTGCGCATGCACCGCTCAGAAGTGACGAACGCGGAACCGCAGGGGAGAGATCAAAACAAAACAACGGTCACGAATTAGAAGTACAAAACAAGGATTTGTAAAGAAGAATGTCGGAGAATTTCGATATAAGCAAAGAGGAGACTGGTTTTCCTTTGCTAACGTAAGGAAACTTTGCTTCCTTTGCTCCTGTTAACAAACGTTGTTGAGACACACTTTTTTTAATGGATGGGTGCTTTTTATTTAAAGGTGCCATAGAATGCAAAAATCACTTTTATAAGGTGTTTGAACACAGTTGTGTGGCCGCAGTGTGTGAAAACAACCAGCCTATAATGGTAAAAATCCACCCACTCATTGTTTTATAATCCCAATAAATCATAAACAGTCTCTCCACACTAGCAGTTCCAGATTTCTCACTACTATGACGTCATACTTGGGGAAAGTCCCGCCCATTTGTGATACTCTCTGCCCTATTAGCATATACACAGCCCTGAGTGAGAATCAGCAGTCCGCCATTACTGTTTTCTTGCTGTAGATACAATGTCAGCGCCAAAGAGCCATTAAAAGTGTCGTGTGTTAATTTTCATTTTTGGGTGAACTAACCCTTTAAATAAGATACTTTGTATATTTATATTACATATTTATATGAACTGTACTATTACATTTTTTTAAAATGGCATTTTTATAATTGTCAGGCCAATTCAATTCAATTCAAGTTTATTTGTATAGCGCTTTTCACGATACAAATCGTTGCAAAGCAACTTTACAGCAAATTAGGTTTCTACAATATTTAGTGGTAGCCTATAGCTTAGAATGAACTTACAGCTTAGTGGTGACTGTCAGTTAATAAACATATGGCAGAAATGTACGGAAAAATCAATTAAAGACGTAATCAAACAGACGATGAACACTATTAACAGCAATTATTATATGATGCAATCAAACTTATAGCAAAATGTGGTAGTTCTGTATGTTGTTTCATGGTTGGCATCATCTGAGGTCCTCTGAGGGGTTGGCATCATCTCTTCTCAGGTGTTCTGGATCCAGACAAGCATTGTAATGTAAAATATGCATAAATACATACTATACATGCATGTATGTGTGTGTATCATGTTTGAGATTAACTGAATTAACCCCAAAGAAATAATCAGATGTAATCACAATTAATTTGTTTAAGTATAAAAAAAATAAAAAAAAGATGCTCCACAGCCACAATCCTCAGCAACAAACAGTGGGCTTATATTTGAATAAATGACACTTGTGGACTAATCTGACCTGAAGCTTACCGTTAAGTACTCTTGACTCCAGGGAGTCTTGGGTATGGTGATTACATGGAGGTAGACAAAACTAGTCTCAAAGGGTTAGGTAAACTCAGATTGGGGTTGAACTGTCACAACAATAGATTTAGAGGGCCACAATTTAGCTCCAAGCACAAAAAGCCCATGATGTTCCAAACCCCACTGCCGTTTGGCCAGAAGAAAACATCGAGCTCTACTCATGGGTAAGCACAGGGGAAAAATAACTGGCAAATAGAGAAAGCTTTCAAAACTCATTACTGTAAAAGGACCCACACTCCACTGGTAAAGGACTGTTTACTGAGACATGTCTTCTTCAGGGTTTACTTTATATGAGTTAAAGAGTAGATGACCCTGTCAATACCGAGGGCAGTATTACTGAGTTTATTCACTTGAAACAGACTCTGTTTCACTATGACTATGACATAATTTCATCTTTCTTCAAACATAGATGATGCTACAGTTTCTGATACCCTTGTTGCTAATTTACTTTTTTAAACATGTAGTGTAAGTAGGGCTTTTTAATAGATTCATCAAGGAAAAAGCAGACTCTGCCACCTTTAGAGATAACAACAGCATGTGTGCCATAAGGACGCACAAATTAAAACCAGTCAAAGACTGTTTGGTGGCACGAAGACAGTTCACTTCCATGCTGAGACACATTTTAGAGGAACCCAGACGGCAATCGAGCACAGAGTTAAATTTTGTTTATAAGGAAAAGCCTACTTTATTCAACATATTAAATCCTGCTCATGCTGCGAGCTGCTCATATGTTGTTCTGGGGTTTGTCTATACTGGTTTACTGCATGGCTTTGGTAGAGTTTTGAATCCTAGAACTAACCAATGGGATAATGATTATGCACATTTCTATGAAATACAGTTTAAAGGGATAGTTCACCAAAAAATGAAAATTCTGTCATTAATTACTCACCCTCATGTCGTTCCAAACCTATAAGACCTTCGTTCATCTTAGGAACAAAAATTAAGATATTTTTAATGATATCTGAAAGCTTTCTGACCTGGAGGAGAAGAATTGTTGACTAAAGTCGTTATTTTTATTTATTTATTTTTTTGTAAAAAGTATTCTCGTAGCTTTGTAAAATTATGGTTGAACCACTGATGTCACATGGACAATTTTAATGATGTCCATACTACGTTTCTGGGTCTGGGAACATTTCAGTTACATTGCTGTCTATGGAGAGTCAGAAAGCTCTCAGATTTAATCAAATCTGATATATTAATTTGTGTTCCGAAGATGAACGAATGTCTTACATCAGTGTTTCTCAACCCTGGTCCTGGGCGCCCCCCAACATTGCACATTTTGTATGTCTCCCTTATCTGACACACCTATTTCAGGTCACAGGTTTGGAGCGACATGAAGGTGAGTAATTAATGACATAATTTTCCTTTTTCCGTAAACTAACCCTTTAAGAAAAAAAAAATCTAATCAGCCACTCAAATAAAAATACCAATATATTTACATCTTCCAGTTCCACTTCTAATAGTATACCAAGATATTTAAAAAATGTGTTAAGGTGCAAAAATCCAACAGATGGTGCTGAAAAATAAATTTTGTAGCTATACATTTTAATTAGTCATTTGCATCAAATAAACTAGGTTATCAACATGCCACAGATCCACTGCATATTCTATTCCAAGGCACTATATGCATCCTCACTATTTGGCCTCTGGTTGCTTAGTCACTAGAACATGTTCAGACCCAGTTTTGGAAGCAGGAATACTATCACAGAATGCCAGGAAACTGAGTGGGATTTCAGAATCATGCCAAAACCTCCTTGCACAATCGTATTGACTATGCTGAAGGAAGATTTGTAGACAAAATCACAGCACCTCTGTAGATAACAAAAAATTAAAAAAAAACTAGGACAGGCTATTAAGACTTCAGGCTTC